ATTCCGATGTTTAATTTGTTCGTACTTTTCTTAAATTACAGGTAATTACTGCGAGACAATAATGCTCTCTTATGCCATGTTCACAGAGGATAATATCGTACAGTACGTGTATCAGGTAGACGTTGTAGACCTAACTCCGGGAATTCAAGATCCAAGAATATTTGTTCCGCCTCCAGATTGCAAGGCTACTACATATGCAACATCAATTCTAGATACAACAAATATTACTGTCAGTTGACCTAAATTTTGCCTCATTCAAACCCTTTTCGTATTAAATTTGGCTTATAAATTTGACACTTTCAGATGCAGAATTTAATTCCGAAGTCATTCTAATACAGTTTTGACTTTATGGTCTATTTTCTTTTGTGTTTGGAGTAACTGTTTTAGATTTCTTCCCTTTAATCATGCACAATGACGTGCCACTGAAATTTTCTTCAGCTTCCAAATTAAGTCCATGTGCACAATTTCAGATGTATTTTGAACTTTGATATCATGTATCAATGGACCTTGATTTTGATTGATAGTTACCAATATTAGTCGTCCATTTTCATTAAATAGCCTGGGAAGGGATATGAGGACCATCATGCCCACCTTACCTTAGATATATGAACGTATTGAACCACAAACGAGTTTAAGCAGTAAACATTCCGGTGTTAATTCAAGTACCATGGGAAGATTTGATTATACGTATCAAAAAGCATGTTTTAATATTTGTCTGTGCTTTAAATGAAATTATTCAAAGATTGTGCAGATATTGATAATTTATCTTGTTTTGAAAAGTGAACAAGTACATCAACTACATGTTTTGTTCCACCTAACGATTACATCTTCATGTAGTTGGCGATATCAAACAATGTTGTTATATGTTATATTTATATTAAACAAACATACAAAATTGATTTTATCGTACAATATACACAGAGTGTAAACGTTTGTTTTAAAATATGTTTCATTTCAGGAAATATTCATTTCAAATACTACATTTACGTATACCATATGTCTTATTATTTTGAACTTCATTATTGCAATAACGTACATAAATACAATATACTTTTCACCTTTACAAACAAATGTTGATACTTATATTAATAGACATAAAATTTCATCTCTGCTGCAAGAATGAAAAATGCCCTGCCTCTGGTCAAGAGCAAAATCTGAATAGTATCGTCATAGTCGCGGAAAGCACGGTTTTATTTTTGTAAGTTTCAGGTCTTGTTAACTCCTGGTGTTACCCTAGTCTTGTCTTGTTCCTTTCCATGCTCTTTTTATTTCACAAGAATGATTCAAAAAGCAATTAATTTACTAATTGACATAGTGACATTCTCTAAAAGACACATTATTGTCTCAGGAGTATCAGAAAAAGCTAATGTATTGATTAAAACCAAAAGAAAAATATGAGCATGTACAACATAATCATAAGTATTATAGAACGTAACGAAAAAGTAAAAAGCAATACTACACACAAAATAAATAAATAAAACGTCTCTATTTTTTTATTCAATAATGCTATCTGTATATTTAATATAAGCCGTTTTGACATGGATAAGAGCTTTATTACTCAATGACCACTATTTACATAACAAGTATATGTACATGTATAGTTTTTAAATGTTTGATACATGCTTTAGTTTTCGGGGCAACAGTGAATAAATCGACAGATCATGCTTGGGTTTAATACTGTTACTTTCAAGAAAAACTGCATATATAATTACCTCTGTAAGTAAGACTAGATGCGACTTTTTTTTCATTGCTTTTAGGTGGATATATCTCTTTCAGAATTTGAATGAAACGCAAGGATGTATTCCAGTCAGTGCCCGGAGTAGTACTGCCCGGAACACGAGTAATAGAACCGTGTTCTAAATTAAAGCTTCCTTACATTAAACTATTGATTATATTTTCTGCATTTAAACCAAATGTCACACAACATGTCACAGATATTTGCTCATTGAAACATTGAAGTAGCATTAACATAAATATATCTGACCCTTAATAACAGCTGGACGGTTAAAATACCAGGATGTCTAGTTGAATATGGAAATATGGCGACCATACTGACTACTGCAAACAACGGTAAGTTCTTTCAGTTGAAACTGGTGAAAAAAAAACATAGTGTAGTGATTGAAAGTTATCACAACGCACACTAATTTGTACAAGTTATAATTACTTTTTCCCGCCAAGATTGCTTTGTAGGAGGATTTTGAAATGTATCAACATTTATGTTACTTGTCTTTATATTCATTATCCATCTAAGAACTTTATCGCCCTAAATAAAGTTTCAACACCAGGTAGAAATAAGATTATGAATGTGATTCTGAATTGGTAGTGCCGTATAGTGGATTGTCTATTCCAAGCTGCCTGTCTTTTGTTTTGTTTGTGTAATTTACAGACGGTATTTGATCTAGCTGTAGATGTAGACTTCCGCTAACTGCTATTTGACTATCATCTGTCAGTAAATCGTCATCAAATACAAGAGTAAACGGCTGCCGTCTGCAATACAAACAAATAAAAATAATAGTAGAATAATAAATTGTGATACATCTGATTTAAAATTAGAGTTCCATGCAATTTTAAATCATGGTCATTCTCAATTTGTTTGTATATCTTCACACGAAATAAATGAAAACAAGACAAACCTTTTTTTCATAACAATAAATATTGCCAAAACTCCTGCAATAAAAATGACGCCGCCGGTTATTCCAAGTGCTACCGGTATTGTGTTGCTCTGAAAGGAAACAACGTAAGTTACATTAAACATAGAACAGATAATTTCGAACAAGATTTTCATGCGTGTATCTTTTTTCTCAGTTTTTGACGTAACCTTTTTACGTCTCGAATAACATGATTTCAATTATATCAAGAATTTTAACATAATACAAATATTGGCCAAATTAAATAGAGGATATTTGTTTAGTTGTGAACTTTTGGTGTTCACAAGGTGAAATATATTTCGATCTTACACTAAACTAAACAAATTTTCTTTTTATTATATGCAAAGAAACGTTTTAAAAAGACATTAAACCTAATGCGCGCCAAATAATAATACAACGTGACGTCATTAAGTTGGTTCTCAGTTCTGTGCACGCTGGTTTTTCACTGAAACAACGTAAGGGGCTTAAATTCAAAACAGTGAAATTATCAAAGTGGTAATTTCACTGTTTCAAACAGTGAAATTACCAGTTTCATATCGCTGAGATATTTCTATAAACCACCGAAAAGCATGTAATAAATACGTATCATTTACCTTTCCGTCGTCTGGAGGGATAACAACTCTACCAACTTGTCCGTTCTGTTCTACTGGTGTTGTTGAAATTATTTTGAATGTAGGCTTCGAGTGTGCATTTGTCTTTGCTTCCGTAACGGATTTCTTTGACGATGGTATATAATTGGTGCTGAGTTTCGGGACGATTTGTGATGAAAAATGTCTAGTTGAAACTGTAATTTTAGATGATGATATGGATGCAGATGTTACTTTAGCCGTCATTTTTGTTGGTTTTAATTTAGCTGTTGATTTATGGTTCAACTTGGTTGATGGAAGTGAACTTAGATCCTTTGACGATGAAGTGGATGGGTTTACTGTCGATAAGGTGATGAGTTTTGGTGATGAGTTGTTGGATGAGCGTGTTGATTTTGTCATCATTGTTTGTTTTGATGCTTGCCGGGATACAGTTGCTGTTTGTGGTTTTGTTGGTTGCAAAGACGATGACTTTTGTTTTGACATTGATGCAGAAGCTGTTTGTGATGTTGTTTTTCCGATCGATGAAGTCATAGCTTTTGATGTTTTCCGTGTATCATGTTTTGTTGATTCTGATGCTGATGAAGTTGTTGACGCAGAACTTGGTGAGATTGATGGCAATTTTGTTGCTGATGTTGCCAATTTGGTTGTCGACTCTGTTGACCTAATTGCCGTTGCCTTTGATATTGTAGTTATTAAAGTAGAAAGTTTACTAGTCGGTTGTGTTGTTATCTGTTTTGTTGACGATATTGTTGAATTACTTATAGATTGCTTGGTTGAAATCTTTGGTAAAAGCGTTGTAGATTGTTTTAACGATGTTTTGAATGATTGCCTTGTTGATTGTTTTGTCGATGCTGTTGTTGATGTTTTAGTTGATGTGTGCGTTGATGGATATCTTGACTGTTTTGTCGACAATGTAGATATCGTGCTAGTTGAAACAGTCGCAGATTGTTTTGTCGAATGTGTTGTTGATTTTATTTTTGACTGTTTTGTTGATGTTATCTGTTTTGTTGACGAAATTGTTGAATTACCTATAAATTGTTTGGTTGAAATCTTTGGTAAAAGCGTTGTAGACTGTTTTAATAATGTTGTTGCTGATGTTTTAGTTGATTTATGCGTTGACGGATATCTTGACTGTTTTGTCGACAATGTAGATATCCTGCTAGTTGAAACAGTAGTAGATTGCTTAGTCGAATGTGTTGTTGATTTTATTTTTGACTGATTTGTTGACGTTTCTGGTAAAATTGCCGACGATGGCGTTTTTGATGGTTTCGTTAGTGTTGTTGATTTGATAGTGGATGATATTGTTGACTTTCGTGTCGAATATTTTAACACTGTTGAAGATTTACTGGATATTTCAGTAGATGTAATGACTGGTTTAACGGTTGAGTTTGTTTTTATCGTCGATGATATGGTAGATTTTGTTTTTAAATTTCTGGAATATTTTGTCGAAACGCGCGTTGACTTTCTAGATGATGATTTTGTTGATTTCATTGCGGGTGATTGTGTCGATAGCAATGTAGTTTTTGTTTCCATTTGAGTTGAATTAACTGTCGATGTTGAACTTATATTCGGCTTACTTGCTGTTGTTGATCTGATTGTTGGCGATCGAGACGAATTTTGTTTCACTGTACACCTTGGACCCGTGAAACCTGTAAAGTTAAACACAACTTTTCTATATAACAGTCGGTAACTTTAAGTTTTATATTAATATACACACACGCATACATTAAGCCTTGGTATTATTTATATATACATCATTGCTCATAATAACATAAGATAGTTTGTCGATATGCAGGATAACTGTCAAATTTGCGTTTTAATAACAAAATCGTCACTTTTTCACGTTAATGAATGTTTGAAATAGAAAAAAAATGAATATGTAGTAAAGAGTTACCATACTGCTTTATAATAAATAAGATTCGGGTTCATAAATGTTCCATTAAAACCATACAATTACAAGACTGATACATACCAGGGTTACAAACGATAGTCCCATTGCTACTACAATGTCCATTGTTGATAGGTACACAACGTGTCTCACATTTCTCACCGTAAAAACTCTTGTCACATCGAATGATTACATATATTTTAACACTGAAATACATACAATGTATATATTATTTTTACGATGTCTTATCCACATGTTAGATGAAAAAGGTGATTGATAAAAGTTGACATCGTTGATTGTAACAATTCAAGCAACTTGTTTATGACATAAGCTTCTGAAGTATACTGGTAATTATTATATCGTATAGCTGATGAGGCGGTTGATATACTTGAATTAAAAGCTAAATATATACATGTATATATACCTTGCCCAAGATTTCTGTCCAGTGAGTGAAAGATTTTTACGTTCATGATCATATCCTCGGTGTGTCCAGTTTGCTGTATCAACATGGTCATCACTAATTGGATTATCATTCCAGATCTCTACTCGCACTTGAAAACTACTCTATTAACAAGATTTAAAAATGAGATTTTAATCACTTAAAACAGATGCATTTGATATGGTACAGTTTGTAGTTTAGCTTACACTACATCATTGATTTAACCATGAATAACGCAAACAAAAATAAACAAATATTCATTATACTATTTAAGAAGTTTTGAAAATGTGTAACAGAGGTAAACTTTTTGACGTAATAGTGTGGTTTATTAACTGTCGTTATTTCTTATCTAATATGATTTGCCGAAACAATTAGGTACATGATCTTCGTTATATATCTGTATCAGTGGACATATCTGTCTGCTGGCATAATATCAGTAATATATTCAACCACAATTGCTTCATTTAACCTTAATTTTGTAGACATACCTAGTTATGAAAAATTCTTATTCGTTTATGTATAAAAAAACTTAATGAGTGCTCTCCAATCAACTATTTTCTTTATCTGAACTAACTCGAATCAATCAATCAATCAATTGAACAAACACTCACTCACTCACTCAATCAATTAAACAAACACTCAATCAATCAATCACTTAATCAAACACCCAATCAATTAATTAAACACTCACTCACTCACTCAATCAATCAATTAATCAAACACTCAATCAGAACAGAACAAAACCTAATATTTCATTGGCATTAAATATAGACAATATTTATAGACATATTAATTTTGTTTGTTTGTTTGTTTCATTTTAAGCCTTTTCCCAACAGTATTTCAGTCATATAGGCGAGTAGTTTCCTAACCATCGTTCCTGGAGAGTTACACCAGTACTAGACTACCTTCCTCCGCGCTAAACTACCAAAGCATCTCCCGGGGATCGAACCCACGCCAGAAAGGTAACTGAATTAGAAGTCATCGACTCTAACCCCTCGACCACGGAGGCGGTAGACATATTAATATAAAAATGCATAGAGGTGCATACAATCAATCAATTTTTCAAACACTCAATCGATCAATTAATTAAACACTCAGTCAGTCAATCAATTAATTAATCAACAAGAGGGCCATGATGGCCCTGAGGTCGCTCACCTGTATATAGACCCCAACCCCACCCCCACCCCCACCCCAACGTTGCAGGGTCAATTTAACCCCAAGGGCTTTTATTTGCACAAACTTGGTAGACATGTTTCATGCTAAACATCTAAGCTCTAGCTCATTGGGCTTTTTAAAAGAAGATTTTTTTAAAGTTTTTACTATACACATATAGTTAAAAACAATGACACCCCTGGGGACGGGCCAGTTTTGACCCCAGGGCTTTTATTTGAACAAACTTTGTAGACACTTACTAGAAGATGTTTCATGCTTAATATCTAAACTCTAGCTATTTGGGTTTTTTCAAAGAAGATTTTAAGTTTTTGCTATACACATATAAAGAAAATCAATGACCCCCTGGGGCGAGGCCAATTTTGACCCCAGGTCTTTTATTTGAACAAACTTTGTAGACACTCACTAAAAGATGTTTCATGCTTAATATCTTAACTCTAGCTATTTGGGTTTTTTCAAAGAAGATTTTTTAAGTCTTTGCTATACACATATAAGGAAAATCAATGACCCCCGGGGCGGTGCCAATTTTGACCCCAGGGCTTTTATTTGAACAAACTTGGTAGACACCCATTAGAACATGTTTCATGCTAAATATCTTAGCTCTAGCAATTTGAGTTCTTTAAAAGAAGATTTTTTAAGTTTTTACTATATGCTTATAGGGAAAATCAATGACCCCCTGGGACGAGGCCAATTTTGACCCCAGAAATTTTATTTGAACAAACTTGGTAGACACTTATTAGAACATGTTTCATGCTAAATATCTTAGCTCTTACTCTTTTGGTTCTTTAAAAGAAGATTTTTTAAGTTTTTACTATATGCATATAGGGAAAATCAATGACCCCCTGGGGCGGGGCCAATTTTGACCCCAGGGCTTTTATTTGAACAAACTTGGTAGACACCTATTAGAACATGTTTGATGCTCAATATCTTAGCCATAGCTCTTTGAGTTCTTTAAAAGAAGATTTTTTAAGTTTTTACTATATGCATATAGGGAAAATCAATGACCCCCTTGGGCGGGGCCAATTTTGACCCCAGGGCTTTTATTTGAACAAACTTGGTAGACATTCATTAGAACATGTTTCATGCTAAATATCTTAGCTCTAGCTCTTTGGGTTCTTTAAAAGAAGATTTTTTAAATTTTTACTATATGCATATAGGGAAAATCAATGACCCCCGGGGCGGGGCCAATTTTGACCCCAGGGTTTTTATTTGAACAAACTTGGTAGACACTCACTAGAAGATGTTTCATGCCAAATATCTAAGCTCTAGCTCTTATGGTTTTTTTAACAAGAAGATATTTAAAGTTTTTTTCTTTCGGTTGCCATGGCAACCAGAGTTCTGCATGGAATTAAATTCTTTGAACAATTTTTAAAGGTGACCACCAAAGGAACATTCCTGTGAAGTTTGGATGAAATTGGCTTAGTGGTTTATGAGGAGATGTCATTTAAAGTAAAAGTTTACGGACGGACGGACGGCCGGACGGACGGACGCCGGACGGACGCCGGACGAAAAGCGATCACAAAAGCTCACCCTGTCACTTTGTGACAGGTGAGCTAAAAACTCAATCAATTAAATAAAACTCAATCAATCAATCATTTAATCCAACACTCAATCAATTACTCAAACAATCAATTAATTAATCAATCAATCAATTAATTAAACACTTTATGAATCAAATAAACGAAATGAATGAATAAACAAAAACGTGGAAGCCTCCACATTCCTTATTTTATAACTTATGAAATATATACTTAATTACCGGTATAGTGACGAATGGAAATATAACAGGATTAGGTTTTATATCTCTACGATGTATGATGTCAGACAAATAATTAGCGTTGTTGGTAGATGACGTCACTTTCTGGTTTGATTTACAACTACAAGAAAATATTATGTTGAATATAAAAAAATTATCATGATTGAATTACAGGTCCAATACTTTAATATAGCCTTGCTAGTAATTAATTATTAGTGATATTCATTTTCTTTCGTTATCTAATTTAGGCTAATTAGAATAGTATCTAAAGGTCCTTGAATACGCAAAGACAGTTTGTAAATAGTTCCATATATTAGACTGTAAATCTTTGTATTGAGCGGCCACTGCTGGTATAGACAATCATTAAACGGGCCAAATGGTTTCACAAGCTTCTCTCACCACTCAGAAGTTTGGAATAATAAATTTTCATTAAACTTTGAAGATAAATACAGCACATGTTCATACGTTAAGACGGCTTGGTAAAGTTTTAGCACTGCTTGCAACGTTTTATTCTAAAGCTGGATGCTTATATCAGCATCGGTATTTAACTATCTATATCTGTCTAAAGTGTCACACTAATCTCATGGAAACTGCAAAATATTTGGTAACTGTGAACAGACAAGACTCGTTCCTGTTTAATATATATTATTTTACTGACAATGAAGTGTCAATACAAATAACAGTCTACCAGTATTGACTTACCTTACAGATGAAGCGCTGAGACAAACTTTAAAATAAGGATCACATTTATTAAACCCAAAAAAAAAATCACACGTTCTATCTTTGCGTATATATTTGTACTCCCATCAAACCAACTTCTATAACTGCACGTGTATGTACCACTGATGTGAACGGCGTAATGTAAACCTGGTAAAATAACAATAGTCGTCATGTATAATGAAAGTGATGAAAATGTAAAGATTTGTTACAAAAACACTATTGTAACAATTGATTTACATGTATTTTGTATATGTAATTTTTTCTGTTCTATTTTAGTATCATTCTGATATTTGTTTTCTTTGAAACACATTTCAATCATGGTGAATTAAAGTACACTTGTATTGCATTGACACATTTCTAATTGTAATGTACAAATTTGGTGAAATTAAACTAAACAATGTACACATTACATATTTATATATCAACACACGTTTAGCTAGAGAAAACCTTTGAAGTTTACCCCAAGGCTTCAGGAAAAAGGTGTAACCTTTATTTGTTGTAAAATAAGATTTTTGAATACACGCTTATCTCAAAGCTACTTAAACCGTACGTTAAATATTTACATTATCAAGTCTGCAGCCACTGTTTTACTTAAAAAGTATGAAAGTTACAATCAGCAATAATGCAATATTCATGAAGCCCTATCCCCCCCCTCTTACACTGTCCCCACCTCCCTCGACAAATTCCCTTCGCACTGTCCAAAATAAATTATCTTAAATAAATATGACATTACATAAACAAGGCACAGTTTTGATACTTTAATGAGTTCAATTAAAAGAATATACCATAGTCACAATCATCAAACAATCCAGCTTCATAATGTAATTAATGAAATATACGCGTCCTTTCAATAAAAATATTAAAAACAATTATATTTCAACTACAGGTTTGTTATGTATCTAAATGTATACTAAATGTAAACGAAAATAGTATGTTTGTATCAGGGACTGGTGTATCATAATATATATCAACATAAAATATACATGTGGCGATACTGTCTATATACAGTGTTTATATCAACAATCCTCCGACCGTCTGTACGAGTCTCATTTTGCTGTTATCATATAGATATTACAGTTATCAGCGATGACTGATGTTTAGATACATGGTACGACCTGGTGACTGGCTGCTCGGGACATGACCGCGATACCTCCTGGTGATCGAACGATATATACTCACTCCTAAACAGAATTTAAAGCTATGTAGAATGTATTATACTGGTACCATTGTATGATAAAAAACGCAAAATTCATCTTTAGATTTTATTTTATGAACTTATCATTTTGTTGTCAACAAATAATGAGTTCACATTAAAGTTTTTTAACATTGGTATCATTCAGAACACAACTATAATTGTTCCAGATATTACTATAAAATAAAAAAACACAATACACACTTCTTTATTCTTTAGTCTATGAAAAGATTCCTGGTTTGTATTATCTCTGTGTTTTTAAATTTATTACAAAAGCTCTTCAAATTAATAGAGTTCCTTACTTTTCGGAAAGATATGTACAATGGCGAGGATATCAGATGATTAATTGACAATTGCATTTTTAATATATTTCTTTTTATTCACACATAACAACCACATAAGGCGCACACCTGTAGTACCATGACGACATTTACAATAATCTACCTTTGTTGTTTTTTTAGTTGTTTTTTTTAGATTTAACGCAGCAGAAACCGCACAACTGGTTCAAAAAAACGCAACGATGGTGCTAAACACACATTCCATAACTTCATTATCCCATGGCAATATATGGAAATATACTATGTTTAAGCCTGAGCATTTCCGTTTTGTTTTTTTAATATTTTGTATTTGGCACAAGTTGAACGCCTCCTTTGTTTGATTGCTAGTCTTAGTCGTTTTTGCATAGAAAGAGTTAGAAAAATATTATGTCTTCAATTTAATCAAAGTGCATTACATTGCAAGTATCATCTTACAAAGGTTAATAACAATGTAAGTTAGTTTTTTCAATCTGTCGAATATTTTACATTACAAAACTGTTCTTTTGATTACGAAAAATAACTTGATCCTACATCATATTAAAATGTTAACGAGTTAGTTATATGTAATAGTAGTTTTTATCTACAGTAATATTATAGTAAATATAAAATAAAAAGATGAGTTTAATTTTACATTTTACGAGCGTATCTTTACAAAACCATTTACTAGACTCTTTAAAACTGTGGGTTTGAGAATAAGTTTTCAACAATATCAATTATACACGATATATATACGGAACATTGCCCATTCTGGTTTATTCTGATTTTTTAATAATAATATTTACTTTTTACTGGGCCTTAGGATTAGTGAAATTGTTTCCCGAACGAAAACAAAGAAATTTCAATGTTTTGAAAAAAGTAATACACCCATAATTCTTCAGTACTGATAATATTGTATATTTGGGATGTTTAGATACTATTAATTTTGAAATTTTCATGTAATAGAATTTTAGTTTTTAAAAATAATAAAGTTCGTTTTCGGACCTAGAATATGTAAGTGAAATATCGTGGTAATCGTAGAGGTGTGGGATTAGTAGTCGAAAGTCAGACTAAGTTAAAAAAAAGATTTTAAAAAAAAAAGAGAAAAAAAAACTAATTTGGAAAAGGTGATAATACAATTGTTCAGGAAACAGAACATATAGAATTGTCTAAAGAAAGTAAAATTGAACACAAATCTGGAGGCATGTGCTTTTTAAATATAGTGTTCAATTTACTCTATTACCCTGATTGCCTTCACTGAACTTATACTAGAATGTAACAGATGATACGAATTTAATTCGATTGTGTTGAAAGCTATATAAGATCTTATACTTGACGTTGTACGGAACACCCGTATATACATTTTAATAATTTTCTTTCGATTTTGATATATCTCAGCAACTCTAGCTATAATTATATAATGATGGTTGGGCCTATATGGACATTCTAATCAATTTCTTTCCGTTATTGATATCACAGATGTTATATTTATACATGACTGTAATGTTAATAAAAAATGAATCTGTGTATTGAAAAGGCTTACCACTCCTAAAATAAACATTGTGTCTACATAAAAAATTTGAGATTCATATATAACTCGTGATTTCTCATATAGTAAACTCCCTTGTTGGAACATTTTAATTTTAATTAATATCTGGCATTGCAATTAATGATAAATCACCGCGGGAAAAAAACAATTCAGTTTTTTCATGTTTCAGTTAAAATTTTTACATTATTTTGCTTAATTTTCAATATTAAAACTATCTTTAATTTGTTACTCAAAATTTAATTCAACGAACAATGATGATTTTTTCAGACGTATGCACAAATTTAATTGACTATTGTTGCGTTTCGAAGAAATTTGTAAAATGTTGTTCTATTTTACTAAAAAATCTAGAGATGTAAAATATTTTGCACAAAAACTTTGTTGTTTAGGTGTATGAATAAAATATGTCAATTCTGACCAATTTTAACACTGGTAACATGAAAATATGCCATTACCGTGAAATAAGAGATGACGCGGAATTAGTGAAGTGATTATTATTATAAAGTTACAAATAGTTTTTGAATAGCAGAAAATGGTTTTCAGTAAAAGCTAAAAGTATCGTCTATTTACAGTGCAAGTAGCATTGTGTATTTATTTGAGATTTACTAAAAATGAATGGAAAGTGTGAATTGTGATCATAGTTCTCATATTTTGTTTTTCTAACGGTTAATCAGCAAATGTCAGTGCAAATGTATATAAACGTTTGTATGCACAACCAATTATAGATAGAGCTATTATTGGGAAACACAATTTTATTTACTTATGGTTATAATGAAAGGAGTCATTTATAAATGCATTCCACGAAAATTACGTGTTTTGTTCATTTATCCTACATAATAAATAAACACGGCGCTTTATATGTAAAACGAGTTCATCGCATGTAAGGGAGGTAAATCTGTTAGCCATGTCAAATTGTATGAACTGATAATTTCGTATCTAATATTACGCTGATTTAAAATTTTAACGCAAGCATAATATGCTTGCATATTTCGCAGATTTCATTTCTTTTTTTAACATTGTTCAAAAAAGAAAGAAAGAAACTATGCATCGTGTTTATAGTTATTTTGCTAAATGACTCCAGGGTTAGTGTTTAAATCTATATATTTTGTGCAATAAGATCGTTTATTTAGTATACTTCATTTACAGTATTGTGTAACGCGTCAAGTTAAAATTGCACGTGCATATGCAGGCCATGCACTACCATTTTTACGGACGGGTATATCAAATTTGAAACTACACTCATTTAATGTACTTAATATCTATTATTTTTTTATCATGTTAATTTCACAACTTCTCCATTTATCCTAAAACCTACAATATATATAACTGAGATGTACGTCTAATGTCACGTTGACGTTGCCGCCTTTAGTAACGTTATCTGTTTAGTATATTTGTTGATTTTCATAACATGAAAATTTATGTCATTCAAATTGTTATATTGATAACAAAACTGGATTAAGAGCGTCTCTGGTCAGTGATGCGTAGCATCTCTCTTAGCTTATAGTGAATCATTTCCCCGATAACTTCTCGTTCATTGTAAAGAGCCTGCATGTGTCATTCGCTCGCGTACTAACAAAGAAAACACAGCGCAAGAAAGTGTCAAGTTTGGATATTGGTTTAATTTTGATTTTCTTGATAAAGTGATTTTAAAAATAAAGGAAAATGGCAGAAAATGGAGTTAACGGCCATCAATCGAATTTATTACAATGGAAAGTAGGGTTTATGAATAAGAAGAAGAAATATCTCACGGCGGAAAGTTTTGGATTTAAAGTGAACACATCTGGTGCAGCCTTAAAGAAGAAACAAATCTGGTCCATTGAGCAAGATCCAGCAGACGACAGCGTATATATCCGCAGCTGTCAGGGACGTTACATGACGTCAGACAAATATGGTAAGGTTAGCGTTGACGTAGAAGCCGAAGAAAAAGGTTTAAACGAGAAATACCAAGTAGTATATTCAGCTGACGGGAGATGGGCCTTAAAGCAGCAGATCAGTGGAAACTATTTTAGAGGTCTCGAGGAGAAGGTCGAATGTTTTGATAAGAACCCAGGAGAAGAAAACTGGTGGTGCATTCAGCTTTACGCCCATCCTCAAATCCACTTACGTAACGTCAATCGAAAACGTTACGCGCACCTCCAAGACGACGAGCTGGTATGTTCGGAACTCATTCCTTGGGGATCAGATGCACTGGTTGTTCTTGATTTTGATGAAGACGACGGAAAGTACACATTGAAATCTTGTGACGGCAGATTTCTTAGTTGCGATGGTACCCTAGAAAATGATGCTAGCGAAAAAACCAAGTTTAGTATGGAGGTACACTGTGGAGCTATATCTTTCAAAGACTGTAACGGTCGTTATCTCTCAGCTGTTGGTAAAGGGACATTGAAGAGTAAAAATACGAAGGTATCAAAAGACGAATTATTTACCATAGAAGACAGTCACCCACAGTGTCAAATTATATCTCACAATGACAAGAGTGTATCAGTCAAACAAGGTAATTCATCATTTTATAATATCTTCTGATATTTATCCGATCTTTACCATTATGTGATCAGTGCACCAAAGCAAAATACCTTTTAAACGGTATTAAGTTAGAGCCATGAGAATGGTAATTTGTACATGTACATAAATTAAGCACAGAGTTAAATATACAACAGTCAATTGTAGTACTCTAGCGTATAAACTAATTTTCAGTCATAATTACATTTATGCGGCAAACTTATTATCCGAAAACAAGTGTATATTGTCAATAATAAGTTAGTCTTTTTCTTATGGGCAATTTCTGCTAGAAACTATTGTAATAATAGGTAAAAAGATAGTAAATGTAATTATAGGCTTAATTAACTAGGGACGGGATTTATATCACTTGTCAAATTCCCATTTTATATAATAAATTGTATAGATAATAAACTTTCGGCCATTGGTGACAGGCGGTCGCTGTATAAAAGTTCGTTTAATGTTTATTTTCCCTAAAACAGGAAGAATAGAGAATTATTTCTGCAAGCTTTGATAATTGCATTTTTAGATCTGTGTCTCTTATGAATTGGGGTCTTATAGCTGTTTGCATAATCAGGAAGTAGGAAGTTCTCGATGTGGATAATGTACAAAAATTAAACAAAACTTTCGATTCTATAGTCACGAACGGAAAGTGATATGCATGGGAGAATTTATATTCAGAACAGCATGTCCCTTGTAAACGTAAGATTAAATTACCCATCCGTAACAAATTGTGAAAATTGTGGGGAAGATGTCGTATGAATCATACACAATACAATAGATTTTATTTTTTTTTGACCACGGAAGTTGTTAGTTTTGCTTGAGTGCTTCCAATTTTCCTCTCTAACCTTTATTTTCAATATAACATAACATTTTTTTACTTGGGAGAAGAGTATATAATTTAGAATATTTTCAAAAGAACCTTTAACCATTCCACTTTTATACATCGATTTCACTAGACAGAATTTATAACATCACACTTGTCCCCGGAGACTCTTCTAAACCATGGTAACAGATATCACAATTATTTGAAAACGTTTTACTGCATTAAAACATTAATTGTATTATTTAGCGTGAAATAGACGCAGCTGATTAAAGCGACAAGTTTTTCTTCAGAAACATGACATGTTCATGAGTAGTTCTGTTCATCTTGTTTGCGAACCTCTCAATCAATATTAAACATCATATCATGCTTTTCTACAAATCGTGAAATTTTTCAAGCACACATCTGACAAGGAAGCATGAAATTGCATGTGATATGACATTATTTATCACTGGTTAATAGTAAATCGCGAGATATTGTAAAAATCATGAAAAACTGTGAAGGCAATAATCAATTCAAAGAGGTTTTGTCCGCACATATATATATATGGCATACTGCAGATATCTTCCATTATTTTGGACAACACCTCATTATCACAACGTTCAGAAAAGGCCGAGTATTTCCGACTTTCAATGGTATGGGAAATGACTTGAAACCTCACTGTATGAGAAATGACTTGACACCTCTTGGGTCATTTCTTATGACTCACATGTTTAGTCTGGGAAAGGGGAAACTGTGTTATTGTAACGTATCGATTAGTTCCCGAAAATTAGCTGAGTCAAGCTTTGGGGTGAAAAGGGCATATAGGATAAATCGATATTTTGATACTTCAAACAAAATAGTCATCGTATTTTTCTATACTTGTTCACCCATTTTCAAAGTGATTTTTTTACGATTATGTAAAACGCTTGAGTTACATATACTGGATAAGCACTTGTTCCTAAAACAAAGAAAAAAAAATTTGCTAGAAATAAAACAACGTTTCTATGGCAACAGTTTTTTATTTGAATCAAGATAACGGCAAAACTTAGCAATATTTTAGGAATATTTTGGCTGCCTTTTCTCACAAAGAAATGATTATATCTATGATGAAAGTGAAGTAGGCAGCGCACAGCTGAGTTTGAAACTAATATTTAGACAGAATTTAATGATAGGAAAGTCACAATATTGAACAACTAGTTCTTGGAAATCATCACGCTGAGTTTATTTATGAACGTTTAAGTGGCAGTATCAGGCTAGTTATTCTTTTAAGATCAGCGGGTGATATTTACAGCATAAATCAATGTTTCAGATGCCGTCTAGCACCGGCCTTCATGCAGTAGTCTTTTTGGTGTTATAACTTGACTGTACATTATTTAAGCTCATCATGTTACTTTTAATATTTTGTTTAAAGGCATTGTCATTTAACTATTTGATTTTAGTGTAACTGTAATAGGTCTTGAATATGTTTATCATTGATATAATGTCTCTTGAAATTCTTAAATAGAATGGTCGTATGCAGATTTTATGTGAATATGTGTAAATATGTATAAAAATGTATGTATTCGAATGAGACAAAAATAAAGTATGTTAAGATACCAATTGTAAGTTTAACTAAATATGCTGGACAAAAAAAAAAGAAACGTTGGTAAAGTTTGTGCAATTTTTAATGTTTTTCCTTGTACGTACAAATATTTGTTTTTTAATCTCAAAATCGATCAGATTATCCATTGATAAAGAGTCGGATCATTTTACACACAGATACACGTGTATGTAAGGAATAGGCATATCAAGGTCATGTGGTGCAAAATACCAAACGTTTTAAATTGAAGTTTCAATGCCAAAAAGTTCGGAAAAATACGCCAGGGGTGCTGTATAGGTGTGTAGGTGCTGGAGGTTAGATTTCCTATGGTAGAAAAACAGGCTCGTGTAAACTGGTACATCATGCAATCATTAAGGAAACATCGGCGGCGATTTGCGAAGATTGAATGTACAAGGGCGAAAGTCTGCGTGTCACGACTCGAGCCCAAGACTGTAATGGCTATTTTCTTGGTTCTCACCAGTCAAGAAACCAGTCAAGAATTTCCGCCCAGTCAATGCAGGAGCGTATTGCTGAGAACGGACGCGTCGCCCGTAGATATTTCCCACAACAAAGTTATGGCTTAATCCCTGTAACAAAGAACCTTGTAAATAATCTTCTTTTTTTCTTCAATTTTTTAAAGATTACTTCGATCTCATCTTATAAAATGTAACTTTATCGACTTTTCTGAATTACAGTATGTCATTTCACACACTAGATGTAACGCTTATTTAACTAAATAGGTAATTCTCTAGTCTTCCTGTATAAAAATAATATATTATATTTTGGATTAGCAAGATAACCTCAACATCCGAACAGAAGTCGTATTGTGTTTAACATATTACGAGTATCCGAACAAAAGTCGTACCATGTTTAACACATTGCCAGTATCTGAACAAAAGTCATACAATGTTTAACATATGACGAATATCCGAGCAAACTTCGTACCGAGTTTAACACATTACGAGTACCCTAGCAAAAGTCGTACTATTTAACACGTTTAAATACGGGCCTGCAGGTTCCTCTCTTGTTTCAAGTCAAATAATTCATAGTAATTTCAAATAATGATATATTGTACAATAAGAGTTCATATACATAGTTTTCTGTAAGTCTTGATAAAAAAACTGAATACACTCTTGCTTACTTGGAAACTGAGAGTCATAACATGTTTTGCGGCATATTAACTTGCAAAAAGTACCGTCTAGCTTCATTAATGATTATTAATGATTTACAAAAGACAATGAAAGATACTAACAGGCTGTAGTTAAAGGCTTAAATGAATTAAGTAGTGATTGGATTTATGTCGTCTGTAAAAACCCCATGTTTAGCTCGCCTTTCGAACAAGCTTAAAACTAATTTATACTACCAGAAACATTAACCCTTGCCATTATTTCTTATTTATTTCTTGACTGATTATCATCATATTTGGACATAACAACTCCCTCCTAGTATAGAGCAGACTGAAATTGACCATGACTGATAGATGACCTTGACCTTCAATGTCAAATGTTTGATTTTGCTTGTTTTGGGTTTTTTTTGTTGCAATTTTGGTTAAAATTGTGTTTGTTATGAATGAATTTTGCACAATTACCTAAAGGACTATGTATTGATGACCTTGATGGTCAAATAATTGTTATTTCACATTTCTTTGCTATAACTGGATAAAACTTTGTAATTAATCATTGTATTGTCTTCATACTTGTTGTGGGACAAGACATTTAAGAAGATTTAGTTGAACTTGAGCTTGACCTTACTTTAACCTTGACACTTAAATCATAAGTTTAGCCAGTTATCACACTAATTGCCGATTATTTACGTATTTCATGTCGGAAATGACTCACACATTTTTTGACTCTGGTGTTTAGTTCGGCATAAACGCGGAGATGAAGAATTTGCAGAAATGTTATCGGAAATAACGTGCTTTGATTTGTATCTAGATAACGACAAAATTTAGCAATATCCTAGGACTATTTTGCCCTTTTTTTCCCACAAGGAAATTGTCCTGTATGAAAGAATATCTGTAATGAAAGTGAGTTAGACAGCGGGCACAGCTGAGTTAGATGCTAATATTTAGACAGAATTTAATGATATGAGACGTCCTAATATTTAATAAATACTCGTGAATGAACGATAAGCATGTGGAAATCATCAAACCGTCTTATTTACCAATGCTAAGTGGCTATGTCAGGCTAGTTATTGTTTCAAGATAAATGTTTCGACCAGCGAGCGATACAGCGTGAATTAAACATGTTTCAGATGCTGTCTGTCAGTTACCATGCTAGCAGTCCTCTTGGTGATACCGAAAGCATTATAAGAATATTAGTATATTGTAAAAAGTTTTCTCTAATACACATGTAGGGAAAAACCTATAATTTCTTATAAGGTTTCTTCACAACAGACGAGGGGAAAAAAAACACAATTTTATAAGGTTTCTTAACAACAGACGAGGTTAAAAATCAGCTGAGTTTGTGTTCTATTAACAGTGTCATAAGCAGATTCTTCCAGTTTCTAACTCATCAGGTCATTATCGAGTCTTACTCTATGAGCATGATGCATTGGACATAAAGACGAAATGAGCAACTATTCGGATTAAATAATTTAAGTTTCCGAGCAAAAGTCCATTAATATTGAGATTGTACACGTGACGAGGATAATCCTACGATTTGATATCTAATTCGTTACGTTCTTGTCAGTTGTCAAATCTTGATTATCGCAAGAATGGTGACTGAAAATGTATTATTTGACTATATTTCGTAGTATTGATAAAGTGCGGACAATAAATTACTTTATCTCCTCATGTGTTGTTGTAGATCTTAGATGTTTGATGTTTGGTGTTTAAAATTTGCATCATGACTGGCACATTTTGTTCAGTGATTATTTAAAGCTGCCGATAAAACAAGAGCATGTCCAAATTTTCATTTATTCGAAACTTGCGAGATTCAACTATATATCATAATATAACAAATTTAAAGTACATGTAATCTAAAGCTACAGTCTCACTTACATCCCGGCAGAGCCCCGGTAGAGCCCCGGTAGACGTCCGGGGTGATCCGGGAACGACCGGGGTACTACCGGGAACAACCGGGGTACATCCGTAACTCTGCCGGCAACGTCCTGGATGATCCGGGATGATCCGGGAACATCCGGGACTCGACCCCGGATGGAATAAAATATTTAATATCACCGGGGTGGTCCGGGATGATCCGGGAAGGTATAGCTTTGCCGGCTTCATCCTTAGCTCTGCCGGGAACGACCGGGGTTATACCGGGAAAGCACCGGAGCTCTGCCGGCACAAACCGGGGATGATCCGGGGTATGATATAGCCGGTAGAGCTACGGTAGAGCCCCGGTTAATGCCAGTAGAGCCCCGGTAACTACAGGTAGAGCCCCGGAGGATAAAGGTAGAGCTACGGTTGATCCCGGTAGAGCCCCGGCAAAGCCCGGATCATTTCAAAAGAATAACGACAATTTGCGATGATTGCACTTGCTTGTATTAAAAGCCTTCCCATTTCCCTTCGATCCAGTATGGCATAAGGATTTTTCAGAAAATCATCATGAATTACTATTCTGGAACAATAGATATTATATTAAATAAAAATTATGTATCAATGTTATCATTTTCGGGCGTTTTCAATCCACCGGGGTTCTACCGGGGCTCTGCCTGGATCGTCCTGGGCTCTGCCGGGACTCTGCCTGGATCGACCGGGGCTCTGCCTGGGTCAACCGGGGCTCTTCCGGGGTCATCCGGGAACGACCGGGGAAGCACCGGCATGAACCGTAGCTTCACCTGGGCTCTGCCTGGATGATCCGGAGCGCATCCGGGGTGGTTAGTAGGGAACTACCGTAGTGCTGCCGGGGTAAGTGTGACCGCAACAATAATTTCATCCCGGATCGTCCCGGATCATCCCGGTAACTTACCGGGATGGTCCTGGGCTCTGCCGGGAGTAAGTGAGACCGAGGCTTAAATGGATGGCCGTACTGTTGCAATCTACTTATTTAAATAGGAAGTAGAGGATTTGACAGCGTAATTTGAAACCGTAATTTGCCCAAAGTGCTACGATCTTTACAATTTTCCGGTTGTTTTCACGTTTACGCGAAACTTTAAATATTTAAGTCCTACACTAAGAGGGATTTATTTGCAAAAAAACCCGGACAATTATGGTTACCATTCGACACAACATTGTAATATAATTTTCTGATGTGCAAACACAAGTATTTTCTATCCTCATCTTCGTATTGATATTGACTGATTGATAAACCTAGGTAATTTGTTTGAAGCACATTAAAATCAGTTTAATTTTCTTTCTGGATCATAAGATTTGTCAGGTATGATAATCGTACACTAACCCCTGTCAAATAATAACAAATCATCATCACAGATAACACACAAACAAAGAAAAAACACGGTGCCAATTTCTAGTCATAATTACTCCCTGAACTCCATTCATAATATCAATCAATCAGTTACTACAGGTACATAAATACTCGTGGTTATGTAAATTGCCAATTAAATAACAATATAATGTTTCCTGATATTATGATTGTGTGTTTATCTACTGTGAATTGAATCATTGATAAATATTTTATATAAAACGTACAGTTTGAGAACTGAACAAGGGCCAAATCTAACGATTTGAAAGACAGTGATTGGGATTTTTTAGTATATTAAATGATTAAATTTCATTAAGATTAGTAGGAGCATTGCAGTATCAAAATGCCCTTTTTCTAACTCTGAGTGTGAGTTAATTTGAACGTCAGACAAGTTATGCACGAGCGTGCATGTTTAATGTTGTATGAGTCATAAATGTACCCTGCCACGCTGGAAATACTTTCTTAGAAGGAAGAGTGAATTGATATTTTATGAAGCATTACACTTCACATAAAATGAGCTGCGGGGTCATTCATCAGCATACATTTCATTTCTCGATTTCTCGAGATCATGCAAGACGGTTCACATAATACAGGGAAATGTAGAATACGAAACCATCATTATTTCAAGTCGTTCTATACATGTAGTATGAATCAGTTAAACAAGTATGAATTATGTCTCATTTATAACCATGAACGATCCCTGAATGTGTATTACTTCACCACATAGGTTAGTTGTGTATGCACGTGTTGAAAAGGTTCATTTGTAAAGCCTTTCAGCTGTTGCTGATCTTATCACACTAACACAAGTGCACTTTCATTTGCCGCCATTTCCTAGAATCAGCAATACATATCTTGATGCGATTCTATTTATTCTTCATGAATAAAGTTTCATTATTTCAAGTATTTGCCTGTATCGTATTGAAATTTATTCCAATGAACAAAAAATGTTTGCTATTTTGAAACATGAATTGTATTTTATATCTAGAAATGTTATAAGAAGATATGAATTATACACATGTAGTAAGTTTTATATCTACTACATGGTAGAAATGTTGGGTATAGATCGAACTAGTGGTATCCAAACCAACCGTCTACACGTCTTTTCGACAGAAATAAAATTCATGTTTTTGAAATCTCAGCTCCTACCGGACATACTGATCATATATACCATCAAAATATTAAACAGGGCTAGTTCTGAAGAAAGAAAAAACAACACATACGTATATAAAAGTATGGGTTAAGATTTTGTTATACTGAAATTAATTCTTAAAAATGTGTTCTCGGTTGGAATGGGGTTCACAAGTTCGTTCCACACCCCCTATTGTGCCTACATATGAACGAGTTTTTATGTACAACTTAATTAAATTTCAGGACAAGATGTGACTGCCAATCAACCACTAGAAGAGATAGAAGATACTGAAATTTTCCAGATGGAGTATAACAAAGAATCAAACACGTGGGCGTTCCGTGCATGTAATGGCAAGTACTGGTCGCTGCAGGAAGGTCCCGGTACAGTGGAGGCCAAACAAGCAGAGCCGTGAGTACATTTATGTGTGTTATCTGTGTAAATACATGAAAGATTTCAAATATTTCAAATTTCATTTCATGTCATTTCAGATTTATGATCTGTTGAAGACATTGATTCTCTTACATTTTCATTACTTTATAACACGATGGTAAACGATTATATAGATATATTCTTCATATAGATATTGCTTTCTTTATAGGACAAAGAACAGTTTCTTCAACATAGACTGGAACGATAATGGTACCGTTGGTATCCAAGGAGTTGATGGAAAATATTTATCAAACAAACCCACTGGAATAGTCTATTCTACAGGAACAACGTTTGAGGATTGTAATAAATTCAGAATACGTATTGTCAACCGACCACTACTCATTCTGAAAAGTGAATTTGGATATGTTGGTACCAAGCCAAAAGAAAATCAGTATATATGTAACAAAACAAAGTATGATATTCTCCAGGTTGAATATGATAACAAGAATGGTTTTTATACCATCAAAAGTAAGTGTGATATTTATATTATTGTACTTTAACTCATAGGCACTTGGTTTTTGGTTGAGAGGTTTTTAGTAACATCTGAAAATGACATTTTAGAGTTAAAAAATTGTTTCATTCAATCAAATTTGAGTCAAAAAGGTTTATATTCTGAAACAAAGTGCCTATGCGCTCATTGAAACTGAATCATCCACTGACTTTAAAATGAAGTAAATAATAAATTTCTTGTCTTTAGTGGTGTCGAATCATTTATTTTTATTGTACTGATACATAAGTTATGATTGGTTATTTATCTATATAGACTATAAATTATGATGAAGAAGCTCCATTATAGTCCTAAAACCGTGATGCATTTGTGCATTGGTCTTGTCTATCATTAAATGGTACTATACATGGTTAGTTTAACAGATTTATAGATACCACACTGAGCAGCCATCAGTATATATTGCCTTGATGTGTGTGCAGGCTGGCAACACTAAAATTTCATTTCTCTTTGAATTTTTACCATTAGGTTCTATTAAGGTTGAGGTATATTGTAGGAAATAGCACACAGTACTTCAAACCTTATAGCATTATAGTGACCTTCCAGTCAGCTCCTAACTTTGAACTGGCTTTAGTCTTTGGCAGTGGTCCATTACATGTATGAGTGCATTCTGATCAGTGGTTATAATTCTATGAAATCCTCAGTGCTGTGAGTTTTTTTTTTTTAAATAGGACTTGTTTTATAACTTAAACTGGTACAAATGTCACCATTGTGAGGTATTGTGTTGAATAAAAAATTTAAGTCCCTTTGGCCAAGGTAAAGTTTTCATGCAGAGGTACAAGGTGAGATAAAATAATAAAAATGTGAGCATTAATTATTTAGTAATCATGAATTATAGGATTCACTATTACATGGCTGAGCATTTATGACGGGTGAATTTCATGAGAATTTGGCACTCCTGTTTTAATTTAAATCACTAAATTTGACTAACTGGTCATAATTATAATTAGAATATATATATTTTATCTGTCTATAACTATAATAAGTATATAATATACTATATTTCAGACAAGGATGGTAAGAACTGGTATGTAGGAGATGACAACATGGTTTATCTAGATGAAAGCAACAGTTCCAAGTTTCAGTTTCAGTTCTGTGGCTTGTCTATGATGGCTATCAGAGCCCCTAATGGTCGCTATCTGTGTGGAGAACAAAATGGACTCTTTAAGGCTACGGCTGAGGAAATAAATGCAACATCTAAGTGGGAATTCTGAGCTGCATTCATGTTCTCTTTGTTGACTATCATATTACCTTGTTAACTAATATACAACTTGTATACAGCGCCATGAGCACTACCAAAGTTTCCTACTTTTATATCATAATGTCAATATACTGTTCATTCACATTTTCTGCAGGTTTACATTATAACCTATTATTTTATTCCTGTCAGCCATATAACTGGACCAATAAGCTCACTTGTTAAATTCCTTTGTTGTATGTGATAAAATTATGAAGATCCATAATATCAGGATATATATATATTTAGAGAATGGTTAGCAAGTGTAATTAACATGAAATGTGAAGCTTCACTCGTTTAATGTTTCTATTGGAAATAGATCCCCAATAATAGTGAATGTCCTTATTTGAAAACAAATGCATTTAAATATTGAAACATTGGTGTAAATATTCAAAAGACAACATAATAAAGTGATAAACAGTAAATAAGGAAACAACCTTAGGGAAACAACTTTTACCAGAGGGAAACAACTTTTACCAGAGGGAAACAACTTTTACCACAGGGAAACAACTTTTACCATCGGGAAACAACTTTTACCAGAGGGAAACAACTTTTACCACAGGGAAACAACTATTACCACAGGGAAACAACTATTACCACAAGGAAACAACTATTACCACAGGGAAACAACTTTTACCACAGGGAAACAACTATAACCAGAGGGAAACAACTTTTACCACAGGGAAACAACTATTCCCAGAAGGAAACAACTTTTACCAGAAGGAAATAAGTAAAATACGGTATGAAGACATTAAACATGTTTAAAGACTGTCTATGGTACACTTATAAAGTTGAATGTGTGCTTGAATTAAACCATTCCTGTTTTATGCTTTTGTATAATTTTTTATCATGACTTTGGTATATGGACATGTATACATAAAAATGCTTTCTTTATAATACAAAAGTGCATTTTTTCTTGCTTGTTTATACACATTGTTCTTTACATATTAGGATAAAACTTAAAATATTAATCATATTTAACCTTTTTAGCCTTTGGAATTAATACAATATTATATGTTCAATATATTGGTGCAAAATACACAGACAAAATGAAGATGATAAATTACATGTATATATATTAAAATCAATATTTACAAAAAATTACTCCTTTAACAAAAAAAGCTTCTGGTTTTTGTTGTTTATTAACTGTATAACTGTAAATAGCCTGTATTTTTCTCCCATGTTTCTTGTATTTATTTTGATTTGCCTTAAGTTTATTTTTGCTATTCAGTGTGGTACGTTGGTAAGGTGATGGGAGACCATTTAAATTCTTTGCTTCATTTTTTACATAAACTGCTGCATTCTGTGATTGATATTTCATAGTTCATTAATGTGAACTGTTGTTTATGTATTCTTGATAATTGTGAAGTTTATGTGAGCATTACTCCTGCTGTAGTTTATATCCAACACTTATTTAAAGACATTAATTTTCATATTTTACTGTTTAACTTACTTAAGTTTGCCAAATTTTCATTAAAACTTTTAACTTTCATGGACCAGTAACATTACACTGTGTTTTTTGATAATTAAATTTATATTTAAAATTTGATATTTATGTGAAACACAAAAGAAACAAATTACCAAAAAAAATAACAGGTTAAGTTTGATCAAGTTATTTTACCGGTTTTTGTTTTGTTTAATTTTTGAATTACAATTCCGACCAGACCAAGAAGTATTAATTAATCCACCACTATTTTATGACTATATACAGATCTAACTTACATGTACTTTTGTATATTCTTTTGTGTATGTGTTTTCTATTTGAATATATTTTTATTTGCATTTAGTTAGGGACCATGAACTAAATTTTTTTATGATTTTTTTCATAATATTCTTTTTTATAATTCATAACCAGAATCTCTGTGAAATAATGATTTGCTTTATTTGTATTTGCTTAACAATTAATTAACAGATATTAAAAGTATAATCATTATATTTTGTTACAAAGGCAAATTTATGAAAATTGTAGCTGATGATGATGATGATGATGATGATGATGATGATGATGATGATGGTATGGAGAGGATATTATGAGAGTTTGATATGCTGGTATAATCTCTTATTATGTTAAGATGATAATGTACTGTATAATTTCCCTATTTTTCTGACAGTGGTGATAATCCAGTATCCATCATTTATGACATGTTCTCTAACTTATCATAATTGCTGGTCTGGAAAACAAGACATGATATGAAACTTCGTTGTTTTCTTTTTCGAACAAAATAATAATATTTTTATGAGACTTTTTTTCTTGCTGATGAATGATTTTTGTTAATTTGATATACAGTATAAATCATTTGGTAAGGAGATATGTAAGGATTGGCATGGTGATAATAAACATTGAGATATTGTCAGTGAGTGCTACAGACAGAGATTTTGGTGGAATCCAGACAAAGACGGCACTGATCATTATTTTTATGTGTATTGATTTTGGTGCCTTTGGATGGAATCAATACATGCTGGAAATACTTGGAGAAAATAACCTCATGTTTGTTTTACTACATTTAAATATAGCAGATGTTCTCTCTATTTTGCCATGGTAATGCTTTATTATTACTTTACAACAGATTAAAGAATAACAAACCATACATTATATCAAAAGAAATCTCCAGGAAATTTCCACATTTGCAGTTTTATGCAAGAGGAGCAAATTCAGAATTGATTTTTGTTGCTGTTTTCTGCAAGAATGACTTCTGTTTGAATGTCTGCTAAATTTACAACTTAACCATGGTTACCAACTATGTTCTGTGAAGTGATACAATATGAAGGTTAAATTTTTTAAACAGAAGGCCTAGAGATTAAACAGTTAAATTGTATATAACATGTATACTTGTTTATAAAACATGTCATTATATATCTCAATGCCTCACAGCAAGTCTTAGTGTGTAGCCATTTTTGAGATTGCATTTTGTAATTAAATGCCAAACTATTAAAAAAAAATGTGTCGTTTTTAATGCACCCCTTAAGAAAATCTGTCACTGTCACTTTAGTGCAGTAACAACTTAACCCCTATTGTAATTATGACTCCCTCCAAAGAAGTGGGGGTATATTGCTTTGCATTTGTCTTATGGTCGGTCAATAGACCATATAGTTTCCGATCAATAACTAAAGACGCTTAGGCATAGGACTTCAAACTTGTTATGGAGATTGTTTTTTGGTCTTTGGGTCAAAGGTCAAGGTTGAATTGACCTTGAATGTCAAAATGGTTTCCAATTAAGAACTCAACTACTCATGGGACTTTGACCTTCAAACTTCAAAGGTGCATTGGTCTTTGCCTGTAGATGACCCCTATTGATTTTGGGGTCATAGGTCAAGGTCATATTGACCTTGTAGGTAAAAATTGTTTCCGATCAATAACTTGACAACCCATGGGCTCTTGCCCTCAAACTGCATAGGTGCATCGTCTTGGCCAGTAGATGACCCCTATTGATTTTGGGGTAAGGGGGTAAAAGGTTAGGTTCACATTGATCTTGTATGTCAAAACAGTTTCCTATCAATAACTTGACAACCCATGGGCTCTTGCCCTCAAACTGCATAGGTGCATCGTCTTGGCCAGTAGATGACCCTAATGACTTTGGGGTTAGGGGGTAAAAGGTTAGGTTCACATTGATCTAATGTATGTCAAAACAGTTTCCTATCAATAACTTGACAACCCAAGGACCTTGACCTTCAAACTTCACAAATGAATTGCTTTTGGTCAGAAGATAACCTCAATGGATTTTTGGGGTCAAAGGGCCAGAGGTCAAGATCACATTCACCTTGCAGATTAAAACGGTTTCTGATTAATATCTCAACAATTCATGGGCCCTTTACCCTCAAACTTCACAGGTGCATTGGTCTTGGCCAATAGCTAATACCTTTTGATTTAAGGGTCAGTCACATTGACCTTGCATGTAAAAACAGTTTCGGACTAATAACTGAACAACTCAAGTTGCCTTGTTTGATATTTTTTATTAAACTAAAAATGCTTTTGGTTTACATATTTCAAAGTCTAATGTAATATAACAAATTGGCTGTCATTAAGGAGGCCTACATGATTCATTAAATTTATGCATATATTATTTGGTAAGATTTGTGAGGACTTTGTCATAAAATTTCTGCACACAACCTTTACGGTCACAATTACCTAGTGACTAGTCATGACCAGTAGATAACTCGTATTCATTTTTTGGCCACTAGGTCAAAAGTCAGTCACAATAACCTGGCCACATGATTAATTAGCTGCCGATACAGGGCATGCATTGTTTACAAACATATCTTGTTTAATTATTTCCCTTTATAATACTTACAATGCTTGTTAAACTTTAGCTTGTTTTCATCGTTTATTAATTAACCAATGGTGCTCATATTTAGTAGGAACATACCATGGGTTGTCTTCTAGTTTTGGGTATACAAGTAGTAAATGGTCTCTTTGGTCAAGGTCACCAATGATAAAAAATGATTTTACACTTTCTCAAACAGCCTTTATTTATGAAGTGATGTCTTTTATATTTAGAATGTAGTTATCTTGGGTGGTCCTCTTAATGGGTCACAAGGATCAAGGTAACTATTTCTGCTTATTGATGTCTTCTGTATTCAGTAGGTTAATATCTTAGGTGGTCGGAGAGAGTTGTCACTTGGGTTCCAGTAATAAAAATAACTTCTTACACTTTAGCTCATGCAGCCTTTATTAATTGACCAATGTCTTTCATATTTGGCAGGAAGATACTTTAAGATATAATAAAAAAGGATAACTTTAAATATAGTAAGAGGTCACTGGTGGTCAAGGTCACTAGTTTTAAAAATGATTTTTACACTTTCGTTTTTCCTGTCCTAATTTATTGACCAATATACATTAAAATGGTAATTGCCAAAGTTAATATGCAGGTTGGCAGAGCAATGATTCCTTTGCCTTTAGCTGTATAATGCTAGACTGCAACAAGCCAAATTTATGTCCAGAGAGAAAGGACTGCTGACATTTTTCATGGACAGAGAGAAAAAGTCTATTCTAAGAAAAAAACTTCACTTTTAATTACCTCTAAATATAAAAGCAAAACCATTTTTGAGAAATACATGTACAAATTACACTTATGTAGAATTTACAGCAGCATGATTGTATCAAGATGCATTTTTATATCCCAAATAAACCTCATTAATAATTTCTATGGAA